CCCCCCCCCCCCGTTTTCTCATTTTGATTATGTTGCGATGCATTCTTCAAGCATATTAGTTCATTTCTGCACGAATCACGCATAACATTTGTTCCGTTTTGAAACTAGTTTGCACCAAGAAGCAATAAAGAAACATTCTAGTTGTTAATGAGGTTCTTACATTTTAAATGCTGTTTCTGAAATGGAATGTCATAAAGAAAAATTGGTCATAGTTATGGCCTATAAAAAGATGAGCTAGTTCATCTCAGGAAATTATGTTTGAAAGCAGTGACTCTACTGAGTGTCTAAAAGGGAGGAAAATGGTTTCTGCTTGTTTCTCTCCAAAACTGAATCAAGCAGTATTAAAGTCAAGATAATTGAGAAGATTATAAAGAATATCTAATTGGGTTCACTCTAATTCATATTTTAAACTCAGATAAATTATGGGCCAGAGAAATTGCAGATAAGATGGTGAGATCATTGATTGTTCACGGCTTTTGAGAAACCCTAAAAGTACAGTTAATAATAGAAGTCTGGTAAATGTCTCAGTTTTCACAGATAGCATTAAGTCACTCTTGGGTGCTAGCATTTATTAATAATCAGTTAATCTTGTTGGGAGAGCAAAAAGTCTGTGAGTACTTGGGAAAGGAGAGCTGATTGCCTTAAACCAGCAGAGCTAGGGCTGGACGCAGTGCCTCACGCCTGCAATCCCAGCACTTCGGGAGGCGGAGGTGATAAGATTGCCTGAGCCCATGGTTTTGAGACCAGCCTGGGCAACATGGCGAGACCTCATTTCTACAATAAATAAAAAAAATAACTGGGTGTGGTGGTGCATGCCTGTAGTTCCAGCTACTTGGAAGGCTGAGGTGGAAAGATCATCTGAGCCCAGTGGGTCTGTTAGGGTATGAATAGGGTGAGGGTGGATGGAGAGAGGTTAGGGCTGCAGGGAGGCGCAGCACTGCCGGAGCCGGCAAGCCGGAGGTGTGCGCTGGCAACCCAGAGATCCGAGTAAATGCAAAGAATTGCAACACAGGTGAGAGAAGAAAAGATTTATTTCAGAAAGGTTCACCCCCCACAGACAAGGAGCAGGCACACACTCTAGGTGAATGTGGCGTTGTAGCCCCCCAAAGCCCTGACTTAAATCCTTTTCCTTGGAGATGTTGCAATCAAGTAGACATGACTGATGTGACTTCCTTATTGACCACCTGTGGATGTCTTGGAGAACCTGTGACACAGAGACCCATTAATGTCCGCCCACATTATCATAGCCCCTAGAGAAGCGTGACAAGGATTCTGATGCTCCTGCACCTTTATGACATTCCTTAGAGCTCATGGAGGGTGCACCTCTCCTTATCTCCTAGGCATTCCCAGTGGGTAGCTTCAGGGGATCCTTGGCTTTCCTGTAGATAGTGCCCAATTTACTGGGAGATTGAATCCCCACCTGCTCCCCCTCAGAGCGGTCACAGCTTTTGTAATTACAAGTTTTGTGACTGTTTTGTGACTTGCCCAGTGCATGATGTCTTGGACCTTGTAAATTCCCTTTACTCTAGGTAAGCTTGATTGCTGCTATGAGATATCTCTGATACCTGGCACCAGGAAGTCTGTTTCTGAAAAGACAAAATCGTCAAAGTTAATTTTTCCTAAAGTGTTCATTTCTCCAAAAGCATAGCTTCTACTTTTTCATCATTGTGTCAGGATTTAAGAACAAGATGAAAAATGGCTTTCCACTCTCAGTCTGTCCTTTCAGGGTCGAGGCTATGGTAGCCAGGAGCATGCCACTGTACTCCAGCCTGGGTGACAGAGTGAGACCGATTCAAAAAAAAAAAAAAGTCAGCAGAGCTTCAATGAGAAAAAGCCAGGTGACACAAATCATACTTCCTTTTGTTACAAATTTACTAGACTGGGGGTGAATGGAGGATTACTGGACAGAAATCTAGGTTTCTTGAGGACACTGAACATACTCTGTGTTTCTATCCTAGTAGACAGAAGAGATCAATGTATATTGGATAAGGTGTAGTTAGGTGGATTTATATCCATGCAGATTACCAAATCCAAAATGTTGATTAATGGGTTGATGTCAACTTGGAGAGACGTTTTTAGAGATCTGCTACAGGGCTCTGGTCTTGCCCTAACTCTTATTAACAACTGTAAATATGTAAGAAGCATGCTTCTCAAGTTAAATGCACTCAAACTGTGTAGTGGTAATTAGCCAGCGTGTTTGATGTTGGGATTCAAAGAGTTTTTAAAGGCTGAAATAATAGGTCAAAACTGACAGATATAAATTTACTAGGGGTGATTAAATTTATAAAAGCTCAATTGTGCATGTTTGAGATGAGGAAGACCTGGCTTGATAAAAGTGGTTCTAGGGTGTAATGTTCCATTTACAAATGGAAAATGGTGTCTGGATTGAGGGAAGGTAGTGTCTTCATCTAAAGTGAGATAATTTGTGACTGCCATTTGCTAGCTGTGTGAATTAGGCAAGCTCTTTATGTCTCATTGGCTCCATTTTCTCAGTGATAAATTGTGAAGATAAGAAAACTCAATATAAGATTAATACAGGAATTGATGCCCAGCAATATCATAGGCTGCTTTGTAGACTAATTAGGTCTTTTAATCAAAGTGGACAGATGAAGGTAAGTGGCCAAATATTACCATTACCGTGTTAAAAAGGAGTTTCTGAATTGAGTAGTGACCTGAACTATTATTTCCGTAACTCTGAGTGCTGAAAATGCGTTTATTCTTTTTGTGGTGTAAAAATGATGTTTATAAAGCACATTCTTGAAAGGCGCAGCTAAAGTGCCTTGACATGCTGTTTGTTTATGGAGAGATTTTCATTTCATGGAGCTCATAAACCTCGGTCATTTTCATGGTAATCACGAACTCCTCATGAGAAAATGTATAACTTTAAGGCCTTGTGAAAAAATAATGAAATGTCCTAGGGAACAAGATTATAGAACTGAGGCAAGAACTTTTTCAGGGAGATGTATGGTTTAGAGGACTGTTTCTAATCTGTTTACTTACATTTATTTTCATTGCATTTCATGTATTGTTCATTCTGCTCTGGAAAAAAGGATCAGGATTATTAGCATACAGTTTGGCCAAAGACAGCAAGGTAAAACATTCTTGAACATATTTATGACTTAGCTACTTGTGGACTGAGACTTTTCCATTCTGATTTCATCCCTACTGGGTTATTCTTGACAGTTTTCCCCATCTGCCCCTCAGCTCCCAGCAGATATCTCAGCTTTCTACTTCCCAGAGAAAACGGAGGTACTCTGAGGTTTTTATGTGTTACTTCCTCCATCTTAAAAGAATTTTTAAAAATATCTTTCTCAAACGTTCGCTTCTCTTCTCACAGAAGGAACTTTCTAAGGTGGACTTTTTTACTATGCTTTTTATTATCCCTTGGCCAGTCAGCCCCTTCTCAATGGCTTGTTCGGGCTCCTCGGCTAATTCTTTTCCCTTCTGGTTGCAGACATTTTTCATTCTCCTTTATGCTGTGGGAAGAGGGGATAAGAAACAAAACAACAAAACCTACCCTCTGCTATTCCACCCTGTCACTCTGAGCAACAGCTTCCTCAAAAGAATAACCCATTTCATGACGTGTTCATTCCTGTTACTCCATGTAGTTTCTACACCTTCTGCCTCACCACACTTTTAAAAATGTTACAAACCACCCATTTAAAGTGTTCAAGTCAATAATTTTTAGTGTTTTAAGAGTTGGGCATCCATCAGTCTAATAAACACTAACCACCAATTCAGGTAACCTTTCCTTAATTACTTGTCCTTTACCTTTCCTTTTGCATTTGTCACTCTTGACTCTGTAAGCTGATATCCCTTGATTTCTTATGCTATTAAGTATGCAAATTCCTCTACCTCTTCAGCCATTCTTTCCCTTTCTCCCCTGGTGATTCTCAGCCCCAAATGGGTAAATCATAAAC